TCTGTTCAAATGATACACACTCTCTGCACTGATCAAAACAGGAGGAAAAACTGCATCGAAACACTTTGCAAGTCGGCCACTTTATCTTGTGTTATTCACGTCCGTTTTTCACTATTATACATATTTTGTTACTGCAGGTACCTGGATAATATAATCGAACACCCAGGGGAACAGAAATATCGCAAAATTCGCACGGGAAATAAGACATTCATGGTAATGATCACCATTGTATGTATCTGTATGTGTGCAAAATTGAATTTTGTGCGAAATTCTCGTGGGCAAAAACTGCAAGTCCTTTTCTCTTGAAACTTTCCTACTGTTCTGTTTACTCCCCCCAAACTCCACCCCCCTCCCAAAGGAGAAAGTATCGTCTGTCGCAGAGGAGCCGATCTCTTTCTGGAAACCATTGGCTTCGAACAGACTCTCCTCCCACATCAAGGTTTATATTATACTTCTCTGATGAATGATTTTAGAATGAATGTGGCCACCTGAATCTGTACATACATTCGGTGTGGCAGCCCCCGTTGTAACCAAAGGCACCTCCCAGATTGATGATCTATTCTCCTAGCTAAACAGTCATTGCATGCCCCTGAAGTAAGGACACCTCTCTAATATGGACACTTTTCTGTCCCATTGGTGTGCAGTTTATATATAATTGGTCCAGCTGGCTCAGAATTATTGGTGTCCCCATTGGTCCAAGCACTACTACCCGCTTTTTTTAATTATTTTGGCTGATTTTTTTAGACTCTGAGGAGCAGTTCTACGTCCTGCCCCTACCCAATGTCAACGGTACACCTGCCAATGAAATTGAAACTGAAAGTGGGTGTGCTGTGGGCGGGGCTTCATCCGAAGAAGGAGACGAGAGACTGTCAGTGTACCGAGAACTCCTTGAGCGGTGCCGAGCCTCTGAGACCATCTCTGGACAGACAGGTCTCGGTCTTCAGATCCTCACCTCATGTCAACAATTCGATCATGATCAGGTTGGACTTTTTGTCTCTCGCCTTCCCTCTACCGACTCAAAGAGCCATACAGCTAGCTCTCGGCTAGCGCATGGTGCAATCAATTTGCTTAATGATAATCCTAAAACCCAGTTGCCCCCTCTCCACCCCACCCCACACACACACACACTTATTCTCTCCCTTCTTCTCTCTTCGTTCCTCCCTGTCTCTTCCTTCCTCCCATCCCTCCCTCCCTCTCCTCCTCACTCCCTCCTCTCCCTCCTCTCCCCCTCTCCCCTCTATCATCGCAGGCGGACTTTACAGTTGTCGGTGGAAGAAATAAGGCGTGAACAGAAGCTGAAATTGGACGCAGTTGAACTGAGCCAGCAGCTGCGAACCAAGGCCATGAGGGAGAGAGACGAAGTCAGAGCTGCTGCCAAGTTTTATCGCTACTCTCTGGTCAGAATAAGACTTCCAGACGGCTTGTTCCTGCAAGGTCTTTCAATACTACTACATATAGTTGAACTCCTCTAATTCGGATACCAATAGGATAGTAGAAATTGTATATACATGTTAGTGAGGTGTCTTCACACATAGAGTGTATGGTATCTGTTTTAGGGGCCATATACTAGGGGAAGAAAAGGTGTCCTTATTTAGAGAGGTGTCCTCATTTCGGGGGTGCATTTAGAGAGGTGTCCTCAATTTCAGGGTGTCCTTATTAGAGAGGTGTCCTCATTTCGGGGTGCATTTAGAGAGGTGTCCTCATTTCGGGGGTGCATTTAGAGAGGTGTCCTCATTTCAGGGGTGTCCTTATTAGAGAGGTGTCCTCATTTCGGGGCTGCATTTAGAGAGGTGTCCTCATTTCGGGGGTGCATTTAGAGAGGTGTCCTCATTTCAGGGGTGTCCTTATTAGAGAGGTGTCCTCATTTCGGGGGTGCATTTAGAGAGGTGTCCTCATTTCGGGGGTGCATTTAGAGAGGTGTCCTCATTTCGGGGGTGTATTTATTAGAGAGGTGTCTCTTTTCGGGGTGCCTTATTAGAGAGGTGTCCTCATTTCAGGGGTGTCCTTATTAGAGAGGTGTCCTCATTTTCAGGGGTGCATTTAGAGAGGTGTCCTCATTTCAGGGGTGTCCTTATTAGAGAGGTGTCCTCATTTTCAGGGGTGTCCTTATTAGAGAGGTGTCCTCATTTTCAGGGGTGCATTTAGAGAGAGGTTCCACTGTATACAGTAACCTATCGATATGTATGAAACATAATAATATTCATAATACATACTACAATACTGGTGTATGAGCGAAATCCGTGTTTGTTCTGTCAGACAACTACTTTCATTGTCAACCCAGGATTACTACGTGTGTATATACTACTGTTATTTCTTTCTCTCGCCTGAGCAGCTGCATTCAGGCCACTGGAAAAGCTGCAGGCAGTTCGAGAGGTGGTGAGCAGTGCTCTGGTAGACGGGAGTCTGACTTTCTCTCTCTCTGCCTTTGGACAGCCGTTGAAGAATGACTCGGAAACTCTCGCTGCCCTCTCACTGGTGGGTCAACGTACAGTGGAACCCCTCTCTAAGGACACCTCTCTTATAAGGACACCTTTTCTTCCCTCAAGAACAGTTCTTGAAGCAAGGACACCTCTCTAAGGACACCTCTCTAAGGACACCCCTGAAATGAGGACACCTCTCTAATAAGAACACCCCTGAAATGAGGACACCTCTCTAATAAGGACACTGTTTCTTCCCTCAAGAACAGTTCTTGAAGCAAGGACACCTCTCTAAGGACACCCCTGAAATGAGGACACCTCTCTAATAAGGACACCGTTTCTTTCCCCAAGAACATGCCCATTAACCCCTGAAATAGGAACATGGACACTTCCTTCTATCGCATTGGTGTGTGTGTGTGTGTGTTTGTGTTGATGTATATAGAACGAAGTGTTGTTTATAGAGGGGTGTTGAGGGTTGCTGTCAGAGGATGTTGCTGTTTATAGAGGGGTGTTGAGGGTTGCTGTCAGAGGATGTTGCTGTTTATAGAGGGGTGTTGAGGGTTGCTGTCAGAGGATGTTGCTGTTATACGTATAATACATACATGTACATCACATGGTATTTTCTACATGAATATTCTGTTCCAGGTTCCGTCTGCGGTACTGAACCTGTCATGGAATGGAGCCGGGCCCCAGTCTCCGGACTCCCGTACCTGGATCCCGGACTGCTGCAGAGGATCCAGAGACTGTGAAACTTGTGAAGTCACCTTACATAACTTCATGTCATCACTGCCACAGTTCATTCCTCATTGTGCAAATTGCAATTCTGTTGCTTGTTGTTGTTTTTCGTTTGTTGTTGTTGTTCTGGCTATATAATGTGTACGTAGTTGTGTTGTTTCATAAGCACTATACTTGCGCCATGATTCATATCGTTTGCAGGGTTTCTTCAGTATTGTAATGCTCGACCTAAGTTATGCCCATGAAAGGAATTCGAAATGTGCTGGGGATCGAATTAATTATCGTTGGTTCTATTATTATAGCTGAATTGTGCATTTCTGCAGTTGGAAAGTTCGCATTAAAAATTTTGTCAGTGATGCAAAGGTGGTTAGTTTGTTATATAGGTGTGTGGTGTGATATGATCATATTCTACATATAGCACAGGTATATGTACATGCATGTTGCATGATGCAAAAACGGACACGACACAACAAACACGAAAAAATATGAAAATCAAACTAATGTCCCGCTTGCTTCTTTCTGAGTCGTAGACCGTCTCTAGCAGTTTTAGTTCGCTCGCATTGTCGCCCTCTCCGTTTGAATTTGACGGGCTTCCCGGCTCCTCGTGCAGCTGCTCGCTCTCTTGCACCGTCCGGTTCCCGTACCCCGATAGAGTCAGATCTGATTCCATTCCACGTCCTCCATCTGTGAGATTCTGGGGGCTGGCTGGACAGCAAATACACTCCGTCTGCGGATGAATTGCTGTCTTCAGGATCGATTTCGCCGACAGGGGTCAACGACAGGACGATCGCGACTCGACAACTTCATCGCAGATTTCCTGACTCCATTTCTGGTGACCGGTGACTCGGCCGTTTCCCCGGATACGGAGCCCTCGTCGCGGTGTAAAAGGGGCGGAGACTCGTCAGAGAATGTGATTCGTCGGGCCGGTTTGGACGAAAAACACTCAGCGTCATCATTCGGTGAAGACTTATCTCTCAGTTGGACCGCGTCAACTGTTGCGGTGGCTGCGCGGTTGGCTTGCTCCAGTTTCTGTGTCACCGACGGACTCGGAGTGTTGTTACGGGAACTCGGCAACGGAATGTCGGTCACTTCCGTTGTCATGGAGAGCTGGCTGGTGAGTCGACTCCGTTTCGATCCACCCCTCCTGAAAAACTTAATCTTTCTCTTGCTCACGTACTCTGTGTCCTCTGCCTTCTCGTTTGCCATTTCCATGTCCTTGTTTGCAAACATGCCCGTGGTCGATCGGGCAATGAAAGAGCCCGCTCTGTTGACTCGGGTGATGCCCTTGCACACCACGAGACGCATGTCTTTTACGAAGAAAGACTCGATGATTGGATGAAAAACGGGAGCGGTTAGGAAGCAAACCCAACCGACGACGTACACAGCATCGGGCACTTTCTCTGGTCGGCCACCGAGGGCAGCGATTACCACGACAACTAGAATAACAGGAAACCAAGAGACGATGTTGCTCACGAGCAGCGCCCCGAACACCTTGACCAGTTGTTGCTGTTGGTGATGGTAGCGCGTGTCTTCCTGCTGTTGCTGAACCCCGCTGTCGCGCCCACGGCGACTGTAAAACGACCGTCGGCGATAGTTTCGTCTCAGGAACTTGTTTATGAACCTGTACGTCCAGAAACTGCACACGGCGATCGTTACTATTGGAAACAGGCTGGTGATGGTAACGTACACAATGTAGTAGAAGTTATTGAGGCCAGAACGGAGGTTCGTTCCGCCAAATCTCGGTACGCAGGAACCGAATCTGCGATTGAACTCGATTTGTCCGAATCCGCCAAGTGGAGGGAGAGAGATAACTGCCGAAATGACCCAAACCAGGACCACGATTATGACCGTGTTGCGCGGCGTCATGATCTTCTTGTAGCGAAACGGGCGGAAGAGGAGGAGAAACCGGTCGAACGAGAGTACCGCCAGGGTGTGCACGGAAACAGCGTAGAGCAACATGAAGAAGACACCGGTGAAATCGCACATCCCGCACCGCACCACGTCGCTGGCACCGAAAACGAATTCCACGTATGCCGCGGTAACCATGCTGAAAAACATCTGCGTCATGGCAACGGTGAGGTCGGCGATGGCCAGATTGAGGAGGAGAATGTTTGCCGGTTCCCGTAGCAACTTGCGTTTGTTGAGAAACGTGACGATTATGAACAGATTCCAAATGAAGGCCAGTAGGAAATATATTCCGAACACCACGGAAACTGCCGGGGCGCCTTTCTTTAGAAATATCCTCCAAAAGGTGCTGTTTGTGACGTTTGAATCGCTGATGTCGTCCGCAAGACAGTTGAACTCTGTCGAGTTTTCAGTGTCGTTAAAGATGAACGTATCGGACATGTTTGTGTAGTTAGCCATTCTACAAGGGAGGGAGAGAGGAGGGAGAAAGAGATGGGGAAAGAGGGAGGAGGGAGTGAAAGAATAGGAAGAGGGAGAGAGAGTGAGAGAGGGAAGGAGGAGGGACGGAGGGAGGGAAGGAGGGAGAGAGGGAAGGAGAGAGGGAGGAAGGGAGGAGGAAGGGAGGGAAGGGAAGGAGAAGACAGGGAGAAACTTAAGATTATAGCCAGTACACACATTGTGCTAATGCACCAGAGTGGATAATGCACCATCACAACCACTGTCTGCCAAGCCCCAAAACATAATACTACAAGAGAGACATTTGCCACATTCCATGGCACACTTTTCATGCCACTGAGTAGAGGCACTGATAATCCCTTTCAAGAACAAGGTCATGAGGCTAGAGGGCTGCCATCTACAACAGCATATCACCACCCAGAGCTATTAAAAATCTCTCATACAATAATAGCATACGTAGTTCAGTGGGAGTTCAGGGCTTAAAGAAACTGTTGATAGGAGAAGATCAACACACAGACTTATTATTAGTCCCAACCCAATCCCCCTCTCTACAGATGGGATTCCACTGACCACTAGTTATTGTCTTACTGTCCCCCCCCCCTCCTCCAACACATGCATTCACTGTTTATACATTATGCATGTGCACTGTAAACCCGACTTACATCATTTACATGTCCATGTAGATTAGTATGTTTTGTGTACATGTTTTACAGGAATTCTTGTACAGAGACTTGTTTGTGTTGTTGTCTGATGAAGTAGATAAAGATTTCGCTACAGACGCAACGTCTGACACAACATGCTACTACGTACTACAAGAGTTCACAATAGACAGTTCAGAAACTATGAAAAGTGTAAAAATAATGTTTCCTCTCCTTTTCCCCCTCTTTCCTCCACCTCATTACCTTACACTGCACGCCCCATTAAACAAGACACACCCAAGACGTGTGTCTATACATACCCATACACATCAGCATAAACAGCACTTTATATCTAGTATACCATGTACAACAGGGTGTATATAACACTGCTATATACAAGAAATGTAAAGAATGTGGCTAATAGCCAGATCAAAAGACCTGCTAGGAATCTCCACGTCACGACTTCTACAGTAAGCTCTTGATGTGTACGTTTAAGAATGCACACAACATACGTATGTGCAGTGCTGCATTCTACAGCCTTTCACAGTCTATATACATATGTGTATGAGCGCGTAAGCAGTGGCACGGACTGGCTTTTGGTCACACCTTGCTCTGAACGAAGCTGTACCGAACAATAGTAGCTAGCAACAAAGCTTATAGAGCAAGCATTACACAGTGGAATGTACAAACGATTGACTACCAAAATGTACCCCTTGCACAGAGGTGTTTTTGTTCGGATGTAAACACCAACTATCAGCTCAGGATTGAAATAAGTTACCTTTACAAAGACGTGTCCTGTATTTGGAATGATGCTTTTGAGCATTCATTAACTGTAATTGGGGTAGTTTACCCTCAATTTAAGTCTTCTATTAATTAAGTATGACATACCCACAATACAATGCACTATTTGTACAGTCAGGCATCAGTGATACATGACTTCCACGGGAAATGTAGACTTGTATACATAATCTACAACATCTACATGTTGTCTACAAGTACAGTTACATGAGGCACAAGATCAACAAGGACACAAAGAACACTGACTGGCTGCACTTTTGACAGCACTACATGATGTCAAAGAACTTTTGACAGGAAATGATTACACTACACGATGTTCAAACCTTATCACTAGCTATATACAGATACTGTATACATGGGAATTGCTAACACCAGAGACAAAATGTCAATTACCAGGTACAGTGTTGCCTCTGGTGCAAACCTGTACACTAGTGGTAATGGCTTGAAGCCCCGAAATCCGGAACCTGATAAAAGTAAACTATAGACAACAATCACACGATCCGAGCCATCTATTGAGACAAATAGAGGCCCTTTTTGTCATCTCCTCCCTCCGCCTCTCTTCACCTCCCTCTCTCTTTTCTCTCTCAAATTTACAACTGCCACAATACACAATAGGTACTATACACAAAGTGGTGTGTACACATTATCTTTGTGATTGTAAACTTCTCAAATGTATGGGTATAATGCTGGAAACCTCGTGCCATGTAATACATCTGTACTTGTCCATAGGTGGTGACCCCATTCGATATCACCGATTGATCATAGTTCCTCTAATATACAGTACTGCTTTGCTCCAAAGAGTTGGCCGTCTTTGACGCAGTTAGGGCTACAGAGGCTGCAGATAACACAACCACTTTGACTCATTACATGCAGCGTGGGGGCTGTTTTACTGTACATCACGCTATCTATAGTGCAATAATGCTTTCCCACTGAGTCATATATAACCTAACCTCTGCATACAGGTGAAATGTGGTATAAATGTCAATGATAGAGGAATGAGGGGATCAAGCCAAGAATCGCCCGTGATGTAATTGAAACCTTTTTGTGCCTATTTGCGTTAACAAACGACATGCTAGGGGGCACGTATCACGCCTGGTGACGTGACCGTTTTTTTTTTTTGATTCGTGACCAACGTGTAGATTAGAACATCAAAGCGATTGAAACTCTGCATGTGCTTGTACATGTAGTATCAATGAGTGCATCAAGGCCTGCAACTCTGTGCAACTTCTTGTAGTGCAACAAGTCTCATACAGCTTTATAAATGTATGGGTACGATGGTCTATGCAGTATGCTGCATGAAATGGCAGTGTTGTCTATTGTACGAGACATTTATACACCCATCACACCCATACATTGAAGTCGTATGAGACTTTCGTCTCAGGCAAAAGATTTGCAGCGCGTAATGTTGCCCGTTTTGGTCACATGACACCACGCCTCAATCTGATTGGGTGGTCTCCCAAAAGTACAGAGTACGTGTGTCTGGAGCCCTAAAAGCGGCTAAACAAACTGTCCCGCCCACAACAATTGGCTATAAGATATCACAGTATAGGCAAAGGTTTTCCCTCAACATACACTCTGGCCTGGCTATACATACACACAGGCCTTTGGCTATAGTAGAAGAGGTGCATTGTTACCATGTCACATACTACAAACCTTCAAGGCAATTAACTATTGTATTTTGATCCCAGCCCCATTTCCTTCCGATCACTTTCCTTCTCCCCCTTCTCCCTTGCTGGCTTTCCCATTGCATCGTCCAGCTGCTAGCTCATAGTTGTTAGGATACACATGGGAGTCTAGGGCTTTTGGTGAACACCGTGCTAACGAATGGCTTGGACAGGCACAATTTAACAACACACACATTCGGAACATGTCTGCGGTGGGGAAAGAGGAGGGGAATGCTCGAGCAAGGAATGAGGGGAGAAAAGAGGAGAGAAGATAGGAGGGAAGGGGGAGGGGAAGGGGAGAGAGTTAGAAAGTTCTCGAGGCAGGAAAGGAGAGGAGGGCAGAAAGAAAGAAGAAGGGATCAAAGCCAGCCAGAGAAAAAGGGACAGGTGATGTAAATAGATGTATAGGAAATGCCAAGTGAGCACATCGGCAAAGGTTGGCCAGTGCCATTTCCTTGTCCCAAAGGCTTCGGCTCATGAATGTCCTAGCACTACCCGCACCAACTGAAACTGCTCCACTGTCGAAAATTCATCAACTCAGCCAGAGCTATGTAGCCAAACAAGACGGCAAAACAACACGACAGGGCAGAGTCCCAGCTTCTAAGCTTCTAAAAGTACTACAGCAGCAAAATATCCTTCAGTCAATCCTCCATATGATGTATATACATAGACGCATGCTTACTCACTGATCCTTGGTATTGTGCATTTGATATCGTCTGAGGTTACTTAGAGGCTTGTAGTACAGAGGTTGAGAGCCCTAGTGTTTCAATCACGTAGACAAAATAAAATTGTCATTCTGCAAACACCTTGCAACCTGAGAGATCAGGCTATACAGATCTTGCCAGCAGGCTACGTAATCACACCTCAGTCAAATCAGTCCAGGGTGTTGACCGAAGTCTCCACCGTAGGGGTTTCTGCGGTTTTGCTCAAAGGGACGTGCAATCCTCCGTAGCTACTTGAATGAGTAGAATGTTTTTTTTTGTTTTTTTCTTCTTCATAGAAACCCGGGTACTGCAGGTGAGCTAAATAAATGCACACGAGGCTTTACCAGCAGCACAACGAAGTGGACAATACCTGGCCGACACGATAACAATAGGCTATTTGCAGCCGGCTAGTGCGACACGCGCCTGGACGGGACACGTTCGGGCATACACATACCTCGGAGTGTTTGACTTTTCAGACGATCGATACTGCTGCTTATGATTCTTCCCTCCTTTTTCCTCTTAGCGAAGCCTCCACCTCGTATCTCAGAGCCGGCAACGACTTCTTGCACGGACATGAGCAACCTATCCCCGGCCCCCAGGCCCAAGCGGATATGCACACAACCCTACCAGCCACGCCTACCAGAAATACTTAAGTTTCCTGTTCAAACCTAGCCACGCGCATGCACACCTGATCCTTGTGTGGGTGTGGCTTGGTGCGCTCTAACAGGAAAAGGGAGTGTTCACGTGACCAAGATGCTTCAAAACAACAGCGAAGAGAAGCTGCGCTAGTAGCCAGGAAGGCAGCAGACCGAGTTTAAAACAGTTCCTAAAGCTCCCCGAGTTGTAAGTCCTTTTAGTTGCAAGAAGCTGCGAATAAACCGATCGTCGATCGCATGCGCTGCGCACGTCGTACACCGGTCGTGCATGGTGCGCAGTATACAGAGTGTCGCTGTTTCTTTCGTAGAAGGGAAGGACAGTGATATGGAAGCCGTGAGACCCAAGAGCAAAGGAAAGGGCAAAAAGAAGACCAAGCGTAAGTTTTTACGTGCAGTTTATGCTACTGAACAATGCCTTTCTGCCTCCGTTCAGCAAAGAGGGAGGAAAAGGGTACTGCAGAGGTATGTGCATATATAGCTTTATAGTGAGTAGACCATTGTATGGTAGTTGTAGTAGTAGTAGGCAGTAGGCTCGTTCCCACAGGCCAATGCCACTGCAAATGCATATACATGTAATATACAAGGGTCACCACGGTAGTTTATAAAGAGTATATACATAGTAATGCACACACGTGCCACTGTGCCATCTTACTAGTGTGTGTGATTTATCCACATTTCAAAAGGAGCAGGGAGGGATACGGTGTTTGTAGGCAAACTATTAAAAGTTTGGCACAGAAATTTTGCTGCCTAGAGAAGTGCATAAAATTAACGTTAGAAGAAGGACATAATAATATGCATGATACTGTTACACAGTTGCCAGCAAGTTCTGGAGGTGCCTCAGTGTCGGCATTAGCATCTCCTGTTACCACGGAGACGAAACCGGAATGTACCCCGACTGACGAAACTGAACCCTCGGCTCCTCCAAAAACTGATGACGTAATTCAAGACGATGTAATGCATTTACTCTCTACAGCAGTGACAAGCTGCAACACCGAGTCTGGCTCGGGGGTTGATGGGACTATGGGAGAGATGAAATTACGGAGTGACGACGAGCAGTTGGATAAACAGTCGCTACAGAAGAGTAGGAATAGAAAAGAAATGGAGTCACAAGGTGAAAGTATGGAGCTTCAAGATAAAGAGACTGCGTCATCAGACAGTGAGGAGAGAGTATCACAGATGGAAGAGAAACAGATAGAGACTGCCACAGAGCGCGATGTACTACTTCACTCCAGTGATGGGGGCGTTTCCAGCGGGCCTGGTATGGAACAGAGACCGTCTGGCGTGGAACGGGGACAGATTGGTGTGGACCGGAGACAGGTTAGCATGGAACAGAAACCGGAAGTAGGCGTGGAACGTTCAAATCTTGGTCTAGGAGTGATTGGTATGGAACAGAGACAGACTGGTATGGAAGGAGGACCGGCTCAGGTTACAGTAATAAGTGTGACTAATGAAGCAACAGACATTACAGTTACAGAGAAGGCAGAAAATCTAGAGGAGGAAGAAAGTGAGCAACATTCCGATCTCTTAGCTACAGCACAGCCGTCAGTTGATAAGGCACTGACCCAGCCAGTTTCATTACCAGTTGTAGAAACTCCTACAGTAGCGTCAAGTACATCAACGGTCGTCGTGGAAACCAACACTACCGTCGCCACGGAAACACCAGAATTACCTCGCGAAGTTGCCATGGCAGCAGACACCGCCTACCCCTCCCTGTCGACCCTGATGTATGCAGCGGAAGAAGAAGAAGAAGAAGACTTGATTCCTTTTTCCGAGCAGGACCTGGGGCTGCTCTATCAGAACAGGCAGCTGGATGCCAGGGAGGACACAGAGGAGGCATTTATTAGAAATAGTTGGCAGGAGCACCACCGGCTGTACGAGCTGCTCTCTCTCTACCAAAAGTCCTTGCTTGCTCTGTCCGCTGCCAAGGCACACTTACAGGTACAGTCGAACCTCTTCTAAAAGACATCCCTGAATAAAGGATACAATAGTAACGACCACTCGACAAAAGGACACACTTTGAAGGCCCAAATATTGACTATTATTCTTCCACATGTGCAAATTGTAGTTCCCTCGTAATTGTTTTTCTTATTCCTACAGTCTCTCAGAAATGAATACAACACTCGGAAACCGTTGACATGGAAATTCGAGACCCAAACAATTACGTCATCGGTATGTAAACCACACCCACTTTGAATGAAATTTGTGAGAAATTGTCTTTTTCCAGGCCAAATGTGGGGATCGTACGAGGGTGTCACATGACCACACCTTCAAAAAGGCGGTCTTTATTCCGGAAGCAGCTGTACTCTTTAACGACACCCTGACCGGAACAAGGGAACTGCTACAAGAGGTGAGTGGTCACATGACATCATGTGAGAGTCATGTGACTTGATTACGCAACTGACTTCATGTGAGACCTAATCACTTACATCATGTCTAATAGTAACCAGATCACATGCGAGTCATGTGACTTATGTTTTCATGTCAGAGCTGATCATCCCTACATCATGTAGCCGATCACATATGACGTGCATCAGGTGATAGTCACATGACTACATTCTCGTTCCCCCAGGAGCTGTGCATGAAGTCCTACTCCAGCCAGCTGGCAAGAATTCACATTGAGCACTTTCTCTCGGAGCTCGTCAGTTCAATTCACGTTCCGACTCAAGAAGACGCTGGTTTTGCTGGTGAGATCTCGCTAGAATACGACTAGCAATCTAGACTAAGATCTATCTGCACAACTTTTGTCCTACGGTGCAACAACGTTACGAAATAGTCTGTAGTGATGTTTTTTCATGTCTGAAAATCATGTTGTAGTGCTTTATTCATTTCTCACTCTCTCTATTGTCCATAGATAATATCTTGTACAACATATTTTTCATATTTCCTCTCCTATTGAATACTAGCATTAATTTAGTTGCTACTTGGTTGTATAATCCTTAAAATAATCTTTCACATTGTCATCTTTAAAAAACATTAACACATTTCACATTGTCATCTTGAATAAAACAACTGCACTTTTCTTATGTGTAATACCTAATCATAGAACTACTTACCACACATCAAGTTTACCTCTGTGCGTGTACATACTATAGCATACTGCGTATCAGAGCTACTGTAGCTCTGACAATTTAGCCAAACAACTGCACTTTTCTTATATGGACATCTGTGTGTGTTTTTGCTTGTATAAAAGTCAACTTTGCATCTCTCTGTCCCTCGTTTCTCTCCCTCACGAACACAGCCTGGGTACCCGAGAGCCCGCCGGGGAGTCTGGACTCCTCCTCCTCCCCACACATGAGAGACGCCATTTCCGTTCTCTTCATGTTTGAGAGACGACCGCAGCGAGACAAGCAGTTCACCCAGGACTGTCGACAGTGGCTCAACATGTTGGTACGTCTCCATCTCAAGAGTTCTTGTGCGCATGGCTAAATGAAGGAATTAGGAGGGCAGGAATATTACCTACACTTCTTAATTTCTTCCTGCACTTCTTGAAATCCTTCCTCGCGGCGAATAAGGCGTGTCTGTGGTTTTCGGGGTACCGGAAGCCAGTTTTTCTTACTGGCGAGTGAAGCAAGCGAGTCCACCTGATAATCTGAACGCTGAATTTTTCCACGAGGGTAACGCCATACGGACACACATAATAATGAGGTTTTTACGTGATTTTAAGTATGTGTGAAACACGCGCGAAATAATTGATTCGTTTCGCACGCCCTCTTCTAGATGAGTGTGCAGCTGAGGGTGGCGACGCTGACGGACCACCAGTTCATCCAACACCATCTCCTGCGATGCCCTCCCGGAGTCAGCCGGTGGGCCGCCTCCTATCTCCAGGTCGCGTCCCCGTTGGATACGGTCGGAAGTTTGGAGACTCAGTTCGGACAGAGAGGTTAGAGGGAGAGCACTGAGACGTGGGAATTTTACGTAAAATTAAACTTGAAATTGTCGCTCGTGTATCACGTAAATCGTGGTCCTTTTCTGTTCAAATGGTAATCAGCAAGCAGAAGGGGCGAGCTACATATAACCTAGTGTTCTGAATGGTGCGATTTTGAAATCAGCATTGGTACAGTACAACTGTGCATGTTTTGATTAATAATCAATACTAATTAAGTAATTAGTTATTTGTAATTTGAATAAACAGACTTACATATACTCTCTCCCGCTCGCTGTCTACTTGTTTTCTAATAAGGTTAGTATGAAATAAAGCCACTATTACTAGTGGTTGCTTAATAAGTTTATTCCCTCATCTTGTTAATTTAATTGACTCCAGATATCTTGACTGGCACCACTCCAGACCATCGCTATGGTTACGACTGGGGAGTGGGGATGGGACTGCACCAAGACTGGGGTGGACCCCTCCTTGATCACTTCGTCTGTTGCCTGGCAACGCTCCTCCTGCCGATCAAACAACGAGACGAGTTCCTTGTTTCTCTCAGTGTTCCCGTGACAACGTCGGGGGAAGGAGAGAGGCAGAGATGGACATTTGTTGAAGACGACTTAGAAGAGGTCCACAATCCTAATAAATGCACACCCATTACAGTGAAACCTTTAAATAAGGGTCACCTTGGGGACAACAAAGTGTCCTTTATACGTAGGTATTATTAGTATACTTTATAGAGACAGAGAGAGGTGTCCTTTTTCAGAGGGTTCACTGTATTCCAAATAGTGCTCACCTTGTTTGACCTTTGAACTTCCACAGGAGGACGAAGAGAATATGATGCTTTTGAAAGAGTCGGACTTTATCAGTTTCTTCGATCAGTTCCCGTTCTCCGAAATGTTTAAACACATACTCAGGATTGGAGAAAACGGTACGAAACATGGGAATGAGACCAAATCCCCCCTTGTTATTGTTAGTATGTATACCTACTGGTTGTTGTAGGGGAAATTCCTGTTGCCGAGACGACGAGCTACCAGATGCTACGGCTGATTGCATTCTCGACATGCCTCATCCGGTTGCTAGGTGCTGCCTTCTCAACGCTGCGTCTGGCTAGATACAAGGAATTTGTGAAACAAGTTGGCCGAACCATAAGGTGACACTGTGTATGTCTTACAAAACACGTGAAAGAGTTTCTCTCTCTCTTCACTTATCTAGGTAAATGCTGTACCCATATTTTGCAAAGATTCTGAGCTTTTAATCGTGTTCTGAACCATAGGCACCTCTCTATCACTTCCTCACTCCTTCACTCCCTAAACCTCCCTGCTTTTTTCCTCTCACCTCTAAAATCCTTCTCACCCCCCACCTCATCTTTCCTTCAGACAAACGGTGCAGTATGTAGCAGACACCTGGTCCCTCTACCGCAGTCACAGAATCTCTCTCGGCGACACGCTCTCCCACCTCCCTCCTTTACCTCTGCATCAGGAGGGAGGGGAGGCGCGATACTCGCTCAACAGGCTCCAGATCGAGTTTGACCAGTTTGTTCTTCGGGCAACCCAGTGGATTCTTACCGCTCACAGGTACGGTTGCTACTAATAAAAAATGAGACTCCTAAAAAATTTACACAGCAAAAATTTTCATGAGAAATAGAGATTTCAACAGTTCGTGAGATTTTTACTCAGTTTTTGTCCGTCCTTCCAGATTAGGGGCGTGGCAGTTCCTCGCTGACATGCCGTACTCTGCACTCTCCCTCAAGGCTGTCTGGAACATCTTCTACTGTATCTATGGCAACCAAATGAACCAATATGATTGGTCACCTGGTCGTGAGGGTAGGGAAAGGGGAGGACGAGAAGTACATACTCTATCTACCATCAACGAAATTATCGATTCATTAAAAGGTAATGACTAGCGTTAACTGAAAGTGAAAGTTATACTATTCCATACTCCGGCTATAGTCAAACTATTATGGGTGGTTGGTTTGTCTTTTCTTCCACTCACGTTCTTTAAAGAAATGCAAAACGGTTCAAATCTTTATTTAGTGGTGAAAGGGGGAAGGGGGCATAGTGTAGTGTGTGAATGGCTAACTCAAAGTTAATGTTACTATTCCATACTCCGGCTATAGTCAAACTATTGTGGATGGTTGGTTTGGTTAAAGAAATGCAAAATCGTTAAAACCCTTATGAGACTACATTACACGAGATAGGGACAGTGAGGCAAGCCAATATAGATAGAATGTTTCATTTTTGACATTAATTCAGGGATGTCCTTAGAAAGGGGTTCCACAGTTATTAAACCACACCCACTCCCTGAAACCACACACCCCCAGACCCCACCCACAAGGCCCAGTTTGCGGACATGCTACTGAAGACGTTCACGTCGGAGGCCGTCTTTCTCCTCACCACCTTTGCCAACATGGCCAGGAGTTGCCATGGCAACGAGCAGGAAGAGAGGCAGTTCATTAGTACCAGTCGCCTTGGAGATATTTGAGGTATTTTACATCATGTGTGTGTAATAATATTTTACCACAATTATGACATCATCACCTGCATGTGCATAATTGTTTTATTCATCACCTTGGAGACACTTTTGAATAGATTCCATATATTATTATGGAAATGTCAATTCATTTTTATTGCTATGGATTGTAGGTAACCCAGGTAACCGAGTTTTCCAGTGACGTGTACTCTCGCACGGGGGCGTCGCTATTGGATACCATCGCCATGATGCACCCCTTTGTTATCTCCGTCCTGATTGGTCGCATAGTGAAGTCATTGACAGTGTTGGAGAGGTGTGTGTAATAGAGAGGCTAATTTTAACTCAGTAAACACAGGATTATTTTAACCCTTTTCGTACAGGCAAAATCTACAGACTATAATGATATTCCACTTTTTCCAAACCCATCCTTTACTGCTTTATTTTTCCGTTAACTAACGCTTTAACCCCGTACCCACAGAATTGCGTGTCGGTTGTGAAGGAACTTCCACTCAACGTTTGGACTCCGACCTCTAGCGATCTTAGCCACACCCACCAGTGGCTTGTGGGAACGCCCATACAGTCTCCACCCAACAAGCTGGCTCGCGTGTTGCTAGGGCAACTCAACTGGGGCAGAAAGACCGATCGTATGCTATATATACCAATGTGTGTGAATCACAATGAAAAAAGCAGTTCCCTTATGGAGACACCTATCCTGTGGTTGATCCACTTGAGGATATTTTTCTAAGGGGGCACAGGGGGCAAATTTCCCCCTTAAAATGCGGCTTTGCCCCCCTTATTTATGGCTCTAATGAATAATTAAGGGAGATCAGTGTCGTCTGGGTTACCTTGTACCCCACTATATTATGTGTACATACTCTCAAAGAGCTGATTAGAAAATTTTTTAAACGCTGCCATTTATTTTTATGTACTTGATACTCTATTCTAATGTGTGTGTGTGTGTGTGTGTTTGGTCCCAGGACGGTTCCAATGATCTGGTACTGGACTGGTGGACTCACAGGGCTGTGGCTCTGATGGTGGTAGAGGCTCACTCTGTCCATCTTCCCTCTCACCCCGGAGGCAGGGAATTCATCTCCTACCAGTCTTCCATCGGCAAGGTTACCTACCATTAATTAACCCTTTCCTCATTCACACACATCCAGAAACCAGAGGCTATGTTAACCCTTTCCCCACACAGTACAAGGGCACCACACATCCCCTGGTTTCAATAAAACTACGTTAACCCTTTCCCCACACAGTACAAGAGTACGCTGCAGCGACTGACGATGTCACTGGACGAGAAGAATTTCATCACCTGGTGTTGGGAAGTTCTCCTGATGCTCAAACTCCACCCAAACCAGGTACCCCTCTCTCAATTTTCGACCCCTCGAATTTAGACCCCCTATCATTAAGTATCCTGCCCAATTTCAGCTAGAACCGCCTTTATACCAACTACATTGTCAAGACCCTTCTCAAATTTTGGCCCCTTTGGACCCCCTCAATTGGTGTTTGATGTACACCTTAATTTTGATAAAATATTGCCCCCTGCCCCTGAATCACTAAAATTAGACCCCCAAGGATCTGAAAATATAGTTTACCCCCTGCCCCCCTGGTACACTAAAATTAGACCCCCCCGTGAATCTCACTACAGACCCCTTCACCTCACAGGTGATACACCCCTCAATGGAGGTTCTTACTCCGGAGTCAAGTACCCCACAAGACTCCGCTACTCCAGGCCCAGCCAAGGACCCCAGCGTCTACAGGTTAACAGAACAAAACGTCTTAATTTTTTGCAAACTGCGAAAATTTTGCCAGTTGTCTGAATAATTATTATGGAACTTTTTTAGAAAAATTATAGAATTGTATATGGCACTAAATTGCGTAACACACCTGCAATTTTAACTCTTATTCACTCATCAAAAACACATTGTATTCATTTTTGTATAATGATGTACGTACTATGAGCTGTTTTATGGTGTGTCCAGACGCCGTGTGGAACCGGAATGGGCCCGACTCTCGCCAGACAGCGACGAGATCGTCCTTCCTGACCTCACCAGTACTGGAGAGAGAGAGCTGGCGGAGTTGAGGGACGCCGTCCACTACGATGGGACGCTGGCGGCCTACGTCGCTCTCTGTCTCACTAGCATTGGATCAGAGTAAGACTGGGTTCTCAATGTGCCACTTTGCCGCGTCACGCCGATAGAAATATATGATCCAGTGAACCATCAGTCATGAACGCATGTGGAACGCAGAAAGAAAAGAGCGTGTAAGGCTACGTTCACAATACCGTGTCACGTCCTGCCACGAATGCAGAAATGGATTCTATCCTCGCGTCGCGGCGCGGTGCTACGTGGCAGTGCGACATTTATTGTGAACCTAACCTAAGTAAAAGGAGGGAAATGAATGCCACGGGATTAGAGCCACCGCGTGAAAATTTATTGCGTGATTTGTAAAATGCCGGATGTGAGGGCTGGCCAACGGTATAGTAACCCTTCACTTGCTGCAGTACCGACCATTTCCTGCTCGGAGGACTTCCGTTGCTACAGCGACTGATAGACGAGGGATACATTCTACCTGCTCTCAGGGTTATCGCTAACGTGACTCCGAGATTTTTCAGACACAAGAAGATCCTTATTGAAGCATCTGGGTATGTATGTATGTGCCCATGTATCTCTCTCATTCGCCTCAATTTTTCTTTGTTCTGCACACAGATTCCTGAAAGCTGTGGTCGCCGTGGCAAACGCTGACTCGGCAGCTGCGTCTTTCCGCGATCGCATCACTTTCTCCACTCCCGAACCACTACTTCTGCGAAAGATGGCCGGGCTTCTTCAAACTCAGCTACACCGGGGGCGTTGCCAAGGCAACCTGACTGAGAGTGGGCGTGGTGAAGGTCACGTGACCACCAGTGGGTGTGGTCAAGGGGGCGGAGTTAGTGGGGAGGTCATACTTCAGTTCTGGTTACACATCTTTCTGTCGTACCCCAGCTGGTACAGGTCAGTCGGTGGTCATGTGACATCGGTGTGAATGTCGTGTGATGTGTTTTCTCCCCCGACCAATCAGAGAGCAGAGTTTGCTGTACCTGGTAAACACCCTCTGTCTGGCGGCGTTTAGCGAGCCGGAGTGGCACCGCATTCTAATTGATGCCCTCTTTGAGGCCTATCGGGTCAGTACCTTAGTCTTGTACCCTGACCCCTCTCTCTAAAGAGGAAAATGATCTATGGTGACTATGTGCATCTCTCTCTCTCTCTCTCTCTCTCTCCCACATTGTGTACGTGTACTAATAGACGCTGGGTCCTCTCTACGCTAGAGGTGGCCTTTTCTCACCAGTTTTGTCCATCGTCAGCTCTTCCGGGCCGCCTTCCATCTTCACCTCTGTTGTGAGTTCCAGTTCCCGTGTTTTTCCGAGGGAGGGGGCAGGGGGGCAATTCCCCCTCTGAAAATTATACTTGCTCCCCCCCTGAAAATGATTTGCTTCCCCGAGTTTACTTGTAACTCCATTTTTCATAGTTCTCTCTCCAGGAACCGTTTTATAAACTTCTTTACACGAGGAATCTCTGTCTTTCCCTTCCCGTTTTGGTTGTTCGCACTCTCTCTGTTGCAGTCGATAAAAGAGTGCCCGTGGCTGGCGTTTTTCTCGCTATGTGCCGAGCAACGGTTTGAGGAGAAGGAGGGGATTTGGAGGCAGCTGCTTATTCAACTCAAAAAGGATCCGAAAATCGCAATTGAAAATGCCCTGAAGGTGTGTATTACATTGCTACAGTTAAACAACACTCTGGAACCAATTATGATACTGTATGTGTATGTACATACTTGGTATATGTTTCTGTGCCGTTGCTGGGGTAACGTATACCAAAATATTATAGAGAGGTGTCCTTTATTCAAAACACAAACACAAAAGTTGCCAGTATTAAATTTATCGCTTCGTAATAAGTGTCCTTTATAGATTATGGAGCATATTTCCCCACTGTATATGTTATGATAATAACACTCTGTTTACTTTCGCTTCGTCTTCCCAGAAAGTGTTTGTGGAACTGAAGAAGCCCCAGGGGTCCTTTAGTGCCGACAGTCTGTCCATCTACCGCTGGGCCGAGTTCTGTTCCAGCGTGGAACCGGGACACCCCATCGTCCCCCTGGTGTGGCAGAAATTCTTCTCCCTCTACCTACAGAGACCGGTTCTGGACTCGACGTCAGTACTGGAGCGAATGTCACGCATTTTTGGCGGGCGAGCGCGAGCAGTTTAATTTTTCGCGCGTGTTTGTGCAACATTGCAATGGTGTTCAAAGTTTACACGCATATTTAGAACATTTCTTAGAACATTAGAACATTACGGTGTGTGCAGATGCGGCCACTGTCACATGTAGAAAAACCCTGCATTCAGACAACCATGTAGGTAGGCTCACTTAGCTCGCCAATAATTGTCATTTCCTGAAGAATGTATATTTTCCCCATATTATCTTTCTTATTCGCCTCATCTCGTTGTCTATATTCCAATGTACACAAACGATCTTGTAATAAAGTTGTATAAACCATGCCAAACATGGACAACATTCAGTGTGGGTTGAAAATTGAAAAGCTGATCCTGAACTCTGCTTTTGCTTTCATAACGACTTCGATATCCCCCCCCCCCTCTCCCCAGTCTCCCAGAGAGAGGCAGCCTGGGTCTCCGTTTCTTCTCCCAGTCTCGTGCCAACTCCCAGCGCAGGCAGATGAAGTCCTGTCTCTCTGCCGTCGTCATGAAGACCCAGTCGCAGATCGGTCGACAGAGCAGAACCAGCGACGACGAAGACAGAGGAGGGGGAGGAGGACCTCAAGTCGAGAGAGAACGGGAGTACCTACTGAACACGCTGAGGTACAGTGGAACCTCTCTAAATAAGGCACACCTGGGGAACATCGAAAGAAGCTGTCCTTTATCCTTTTTCAATGTGCAATGTATTAGCATATATACAGTGTACATGTTGTAGTGCAAAGTCATTTCCAGGGAGGTGTCCTCTGTTCAGAGGGTCCTTCTTCGCAGGTTTCACCATATCCAGTAAAAATATCCTCGGTTAGCTTAGCTCACCCTCTCTCTCTCTCTCTCTCTCTCTTTCTCTCCCAGTTTTTTCCAGACGCTGAACCTGTGGCTGGAGGAGCCTCGTCTCCACGACGCCTCACTCTACCTCCCCGGTCTTCCCCAACAATACAACTCCCAGCGCCTGGCAACCATATTTTCTCCTCCAGAGGTACATACATACATGTTGTACATGTTGTACATGTACATATGTGCAGAGGAGGTGTAACGAACTGGGGGCAACATTTTTCAATTTTCTTTTTCTTTCAGTTTTGTTTCTGGATGGAGTTCGTCCCGGTGTCGGAGGTCAAAGTTCGACGGGCAGTTCTCATTGACGAGTGGCTGCAGGTGGAGTCTTATCAGAAGACTCTCGCTAGCCACACCCCCAAACCACCACGGGATGATGGTGGGTATAGTGTTGTCTAGGACAAATCTTGCTTTGCATATCTCACTGTCTGTATCTTGCCTCTATTTCGCTGCCCCCATTTCTCACTTGACCTCACATGGGAATTCCCCCTCCTGTAGCCATGACGAGAATTCGGAAGAGACTTGATAAGGGCAAGCAGCCCGTGGCTCCGCCCACTTTACAAGTCGGCCCCGCCCCCTTTGAGCACCTAACGGAGGAGATAATGTTGTCGCAGGATTCTCTTCTCGTGTTTTTGAAGAGCGACATTCAGTTCGTAGTCCAGCAAGCCAGGTATACACACACATGTTAATACTAATGTACAGTACATTGTATTTGCTGTGCACTACATACATACATAGGTTTACAATACATATTGTGTATGTCATATTGCACGCCACACCCCGTGGTGCTGCGAATGCATAGAAATGGACTCTATTCTTGTGACGCGGCAAAGAGGCAATATACGACTGGGGGAATGTGACATGTTGTGAACTTAGCCAGTCTTTCGCTCTATACCTCCCTCCCCCCTCCCCCGCCAGTTCTCACTCAACGAAGGCGAACGTCCTGGTAACCCTAGACACCCAGTACATGGACGGCCTACCCGTTCTCTACTCCAACCAGCCGAGACAGTTTATGGTCTCCGTTCCATGCAAGCGGTCCTCCTCCAGGTGTGCCGGACCTGCCACCATCGTTTTCAGGGTACGTGGTCGTCACGGTTACCTGTGTGTTGATTTGGTTGCCGTGGTTATTTTGTGACGTGCCTCCTATTGGTAGTACAGTTTATGATGACGTGGTTTCCAGAATATCTGTGTCCTCAATCTCCCCTCAGTATGAAGAGATAGAGTTGAGTCCGAAATGGGAGCAGATGCTAAAGGTCAACAGGTCGGAGTACGAGCAGCTGGTAGCGTCTCTCTCTCTCCCGCTCTCCCTCGATTTCTGCAAGGCCGTCGTACGAATGGAGCACACCGTCAGGTCGGGGCTTCTAGTCATGTTAGAATTGGGGGTGTGGCCTAGTCCAGAGAGGCCACGCCCACTAGTAAGACACAGGCACCTTAGGATGCACAGCATAGCATTGTTCATAATGTGCGAAACCGTTCACTTACTACGTCCTCGTGCAAAAGGTTTTTTCTCCTATGGAGAATGCTTGGAACGGCACCTACAAATAGTGCTGACAGCGTCTCCAACTTCACAGATACATCCGTATTTTTACGAAATTCGTACACAATTTACATGACGTTAAAAAATCTATAGATTACGGAGGCGGAGATATAAAATGGTGTAAAATACATTGTCATGTGCCATAATGCTCTTACGGAGTCTTAATTTTCAATTTCATCTTTACTTCCTCAGTGAGTTGTCTCGTATGGCGGAACAGCTGCCTGAGACGGAGAGGTCAAAGGCCGTCCAGTCTGGAGTAAACCTGTTTTACGAGATCCTGACCAGTCTCAATCTGGACTGTCGCCAGTTTCCCCCGTCATGCCAGTTCCTGACCTCCTGCGTTCAGATACTGGGGCAGGTCAGGAAGAGAGGGGTTAATTTTGCTTGATAATGGAACCTGTTTTGTAAAATTGATGGGTTTTGCCTGAAACCAGCAATTTTTAGCAAAATACTGAATTTGACTCCTCCACAAGATTTGTGGGTGTAAGTTTGTTTTTTTTCGGAGCCGAATCGGCTTCTTCCTTCTTCCTTGTGTGTCTACACTACATTCTCTCTCCTCTCTCCTTCATCTTCTTCCCCTCTTTCTTCCCTCTCTCTCTCTCTCCCCTCTCTCTCTCCCCCTCTCCCTCCATCGCAGGAGTTCATACAAAAGGACCCTTCTCAAACTGTCAAAATCCTCGATTGTCTCATCAAACAGCCGAGCAAGGCAGACCTTCTGGCGCCGCTGTTCCACCCCAACAACAGCCCCGCCCACTTCCTGGAGATGTATAGCAACGTTGAGACGGTTGCTAGGGAAGAAGGGCCCAACGTTGCCTTCTCTGTTTTGACAAAGGTTTGGGAAAAGAAGAAAAGTGAAAGAGAGAATAGTTGTGTGGGGTTAGTTGGGGAAAAAATCATAATACTGAGACAAAAATATTATACAGGCATATGTAAGTGTAGAAATATGTATATATATATAAATAGTGTACTTGAATATGGGAATTTGGGGGCAAACAATTTGCAGTTGGGTGATTAATAACTCTCACATCCCCTATAAGAAGCCGAGATATTTCCGTCTTTACTTTCTTTTTTCTTTTTTCTTAAAAACTCCCCCCCCTCTCTCTCTCTCTCTCTCTCTCTCTCTTCAACAGTTCAACGTCCAGGACTGGCTTGACGGCTACTCGTCTTCGCTCGTAGACAGAAGTACATTCCTCCACCAAATATGGAGAGGCATTCTCCTGTGTGGACCAAGGCCTTCTCTGGAGTTTGAAATTCTGCTGGAGGTAAAAACTTCACTGCACTCTCCAGCTATAGTCATATGTATTCAGGATGGTTGGTTGGCCTGTCCTTCCCTCCACTTGCTTGCTAAAAGTACAAAGCAATTTAGGCCACCCTATTCTTTTTATTTCCTGCACCCCCTGTATAGTTCAGGT